TAGGTATCTTCCTGGGCAAATACCGAGTAGTATATACCTATGAAGATGAGATGGGGTAAATGCTGTATGGACTCTTGGACGAACAAAATAAAACAATTATTTTACTTAAATTTTTATTTAATTGATATTCAATTATTTTTTGTGAAATTACTCCACTAGTTTCTTATAATTATTAATAAAAATATCGAACACTCAGAAAAAAATCCTTCGATCCCGCCGGATTCGAACCGACGTCTTCTAGCATATATCTCTAGCCAGGACTGGTAGCTGTAAAGGTACCTATCTAACTGGGTGACGAAATACTTAAGATTTCTCATAGATGGCGCTACGGCTACAAAGTTGTTGAAAAACCAAATACAAAGACACTACAACAAAACATAGAAAAATTCGTGAGGTCCGCTGGTTCGTTCCATGGCTTAGTTGGTATAACGTCTGGCACGGTATGCTAGAAGACGTCGGTTCAAATCCGGCCGGATCGAAGGATTGTTTTTTGAGTGTTCGATCTTTGTATTAATAATTATAACAAATTATTTAACTTATTTGCTTGTATTAAAAACGGAATATTACTTAATATCTATCTCTAAGTACCTACTTACTATCACGTAAGTATTAAAAAGTTACGACACCTCACTATGGAAAATATGGATGCGTTTCGGATCAAAAATCAATAATTTTTTTGTTTCTTAAAATTATGTCTTGAAATGTTTCGTTATTGTAGAGGAATATATAAGGCTTCGAATGTGATAGTTTGGTATAAATTAGTATAATACATATTTTATTATAAAATATTAAAAATCAAAGTCCAATAAAAACGATCAATAAATGGAGTTTATTCATTTTTATGTTAGTAACTATTTATGTTTCGTAGGAATTAAGACATAAATATGCAACTACATTACCAAGATACATTAATATAAAAATATGAAAAGCTAATTCTACTTTAAACAATAACTGAAAAAAAAGTGTATTGAAAGTTATTAATATTATTTTAAATGCACATTAAAGGTTTAATGTACCTATTGCAATTTATACCTATATGGTTTGTATAAATATTTATTAATAGATTTTTGCCAACTAAACTTGCCGAGCTTCCGGATCTAAAATTAATTCGTTCACTTTCAAAAGATGTAGTGTATCCTCATCGAGTTCTTTAACGTTTTTGCTGTATGGTTTTCTAATGCTTGTTATGTATGGATCTGATGTGTAAAGAAGAGTATGAAATACGTCTTCATTTGTGGCTGCTCGGGAGCATTTTCGGGCATGATGAAGGCGAAAGTTTTTGTAATCCTTATAACGGGATTCTTGTGCGTCTTCCGAAAGTTGACCAATCGGAAGCACTGCAAAATGCTTTATAATACTTTCTCCGTGTATTAAGATTTTGTGAACTGAGGATGGCATATAGTACCATTCATAATTACTGACATAAATCCTAGCAGTCTCCATAGCATAACTACCAAATTTTTCCGCATCTACCATCACACCTGATGAAAGTGCTTGTAGTAGGTATTATGTAGAGACGTTTTATCAAAGTCACATCCACACCAGTAATTTCAGCAGAGCAACTTGCATTAGAAAAAAATCTCCTAGCAGTATTGCCATCATTGCTATTTCCTGTTCCTTGACGTGGTTGGTCAATTATCAGTCCCAACTCATCACGAAAACGTTTCTGTACTAGAGTTTTCTTCTCTTGTTTTTGTCTTTTCTTTTCTTCAGTCGTTGCAGACCATGTTCTAAAAGAAAGATTGTAGGAAATGTGTAAAATCATCTCCATACAACGTATCCAGGCATGTAATGTAGAAAGTCCGTATTGGTAACTTTCTTCATTTTCAGGCCTAGCACTCACTCTCGTCAAATCATTCATTTGCCGTGGAGTAGCTCTGCATATTGTACATGTGGAGCCAGAAGGTGTCTCTGTTAATACTTGAGCTACTTTACCGTCTATCATTGTTAAGAAAAGTTCATGTTTTACCTGAACTCCCTCGCCTTCTCTATTAATCAAAGTTGGGATCAACGAATTTATCTGCAATTTTATGTCATCCACAACTGCTTTAGTTTTCTCAGTCGTTTCTTTGCAAAACTCTAATAATATAGGACGGCAAAAACGTACAGAAGAAGGAACAGGATTTTGCCATACTACATCTCCTGTTAGCTCATTAATTAATTTAATGGGTACTAAAGAAGTGATAAATAAGTTAGCATCTGATACAACTTCAGACTCTTCTGGAAGCTTCTGTTTATACTGACTTTGTCCTGATGAACCATCACATCCCCATTTACTGTAAAGAAGTAAATGTTTTAATCCATCTTTATATACAGAATCTATTCTTAAAATCCTGGCTGCTGTGTGATCTAATAAATCTTGAAGTTTTACTACTCTTGCTCCTATGTTTGTAATTTCAATAGTTGCAGATGGTGGATAGCAGGTTTGTTTAATCTCTTGTATTTTGTAATATGGTGGGAATATAGAACAGTTTCTTTCGTCTGTTAAATTTCTCAAATACAAGTATTGTGCTTTCGTTAAATCTAAGTCAATCAAAATGCTTAATGCTTCTTCGTCTATAAGCATTTTATTCTGCCTTGGATTTTCTATGAGACTCGAGATTAATATCTTCTTTTCTCTGTCAGCAAATCTTAATGTTTCCACAAGTTTTGCTTCCGTTCCTTCTTCTATCGAACGTAATCCCTGTATGTATGCATTATAAATATGCTCAAATCCATATTCATTAAGCAACACTGAGTTTTTTCTTTTCTTGCTAGATTGTGACGAGTCTGCGTAAGATATGCATGGTCTTCCACGTTTTCCAGAAGATGTAGATGGAGTGGTATCGGTTAAAACGCCTTCTGAAGTGGGTATAGTCACAGAATATTCAAAGTCCAGCCAATTGCTATTGTTCTTCAAAAACCTTTCTTTTTTCCGAGAAGCTTGCTCCCATTTTGTATTGAAAACGGGAATCATACGTCTTTGAATGTCACTGATAATGAAGCATATGTTGTCTTCAGAGATTTGATGATTTTCTTTCAAAAGAGTTGATATTGCTTCCATAGTTTTTCCTCCTTCGATATACGAAAGTATTATTTCACGTTTAGACAACTTGAAGGTAGACATTTCAATGTTAAAAAATACAATGTCTGTCCTTAACAAACGCGCGTATATTAATATCTTTTGAATCTGTAATGAACTATTATAAAATCAGCCCTTTATATACCATTTAAAAAAAAGGTTCGTGTGCAGAGTTTTGTTAAATTTATTCACACACATAATGAGTGCAAAACTGATAAAGTTTGTCATAACTATGTTTTTTTAATAGTAAATAACAAAACTTACCTCAAACTATCAATAGAAACGATCAACACTCGAAACCGCAGCAGATAGTGGTTTCCGTTTCTCGGATCTTATCACATTTGTACCAATAACTTCGAAAAGCACAAAAAGGCGCAGCCAATTTTTATACATGTTATTATTTAATAACTAGGCTACCATTTAACATTCGAATCTAAAGTAGGGAGGACGTTGGTAAGTGTCAAAACTCTTAATCAATTTTAAAAACACAGGTTTTTGTCCTTATTTCATTTTCGATTTATTTAAACGTAATTTTTAATACAAAATATAAATAAAGTATGTTGTGAAAATCTACAAAGAATAACCTTTTTAAAAATGTATAACACTTACTAATTTCTTATAATATTTACTATTCAAATTAACTTGCAAAGATGAGTAGTGAACTCCCTCAAAAATATTTTTTTCGTTCAATCATGTTTGACATTTTGTATAAAAAAACTATACGTTTTTTATGGAAAAATGCTTCTGTATAAATTAGTTGCGTCATTAAACTATAAGATAAAATTAAAAAATATATCAATAACGACATTGTTCAAAATGATTTTTTTATCCGTGCTTGTTCTACCATTTTCCATAGTGCGCCTGCGCAATGTGTAAAATACCTATGTAGGTTAGGTATGTGTATATGCTGGCTAAAAGAAATATTCTGTATCTTCAAAATAAAAGACTGACTAATTCTACAATTCTGCCATTAGGCGGTTCTAATAACTCACAACGTTTGCTGAATGGAATGAGATTGAAATGATTTGCGATACTGAATGGATTCAGGAATAAGATAAGAAATGGGCGAACCAACTAACTCTACCTTTTTGCAATTAGTATTAACTACTTATACTTTAATTATGACTTTTTACTACTTTTATTTTTACTTTTTACTAGTCCAATTTTAAAAACCCTCTAATGGTTGTACTGGAATAAGGCCTTTTTGCTGCTGGTCCGAATTCTAATATGATCATTAATCTAAAGTCCAAATAGTGATAAATAGTCTATACACTTAGTTTCTGCACCACTCATTACTCTACATAGAACTGCGCAAACCTCATAAACGCTCACCAAACATCGTGCATAATGCACGCGCACAGACCCGCCTAATGAGTGCGAGCGGGACGCATATACAGTCGCACACTTTGCCGGAAAGAGAAACCACAGAAATGCTCGAAATGCGCAACACGACTGAGAGAGACGGGAACACTCCGTGTACATTTTGGTCTCGATGTGGCAAAAAATGGAACTTCTATCATACATACGACTAATTTTCACCCCACACCCCGCTTCCCTGCCTCTCGTCAGTCGCAGCGCCGCTACACCCGGTGCATCTTTGAATATGAACAACGGGTCTATTCGAGTGAAATGCGATTAGCAAACGTTCAGTCGTCAAAATAAAATCTAACTTACATTGCTGTACTAACTACTTAATAAACCCACAGATAAATTATAGACAAAAACAATTTAAGGGATTTCAGCCCGTCGATTCAGTCTAGATACATAGAACTGACATTAATACAAGTACGTTCCACAGCTGTCCACGAGTTTCTTGTAAGTAACAGGTTTGGCCTAATATAGGTTGGAAAAATCTCAAATCGTCTTACCTAGCGAGTAATGGATGATGAATGTTAAACTCTAGTCGTAAAGTGTGAGGAATGTTTTGAATTTGGAATAGGGGTGTACCAGGAGCGAGAGGGAGGGGCTACGCTGGAACCGGTTGGTCCAAATGGTGAATTATTGAAGACTGCGACCGCCCTTTGGCCGTGCCTGCGAATGGCGGGCGGGGGCGGCGCGGGGCTGTGCGAGGTGCGCGGGGTTGTTTGCCGGCCACTTGCCGCGCGCCTTTCGGCGGCAGAGCGATTTTGAATTTGGAAGTTGGTCGCCATCTTTGCTCTAGACCGTTGCTCATTTCAGTAAGGTCTGTAAGTTGAAGTTTTTTGATGTGATGCCCTTAAGTGTGTCTTTGATCTTGGACTGAAAAGGTGGGTTCAATTAATTTCCTCAATTTTAGTTAGATGTATTCCTTGACTTTAGTATGTTTTATTGGTCTCTACCAATAAAACCTATCTAACGGGACCTGTTCGCAAACTTGCTAAAAAGGTTAGAACTCATTGTTCACTGCACATAAAAAAACTAAAAGCGATAATCACAAAATAATCTTGTAAAAAGTCTTGGTAACTTTATTACATTTCGTATATTGTACAAAAAATTTTATCGAAGTTGGTTTTCGCGAAAATTTCTAATGAATAGCAAAATTGTTAAATTAACATCCGCACTTGCCTAGGAACTTTGTTCATTATAGAGAAACTCTTTGACCATGTTAACAATAGTCAATTTTAACCGGAAGTATCGCTAATCTTACGTAACAACAACAAACTCATCGTCGCCCGCGGCTTTGTCCATCTTCCTGGCGGCAAACTGTCTGTCTGTTAACTCTACAAATATATCGGTGGCCGGATGGATTAGAACACAATTAGTGCCGTTTGCAACGGATTTGTGCAGATTAAGCGGCTTAAGCAGTTTGTGAAGCGAAAGTGTTAAACATATTTGTGGAGAAACATAAAAAATGTGCAAATAGGTACGTGTTATTGTAGAACATAAAATCTACCGAAATTGTATCGTTGTTCAGCTCGTATTCCGTGATTGCGGTGATGTCTTTCGACCCGTACTGCCCGCAGTTTCAAGACATTGGTTTTTACTTTGCTATGGCTAAAAATATTTGTAGAACGCTAAGTATTGATTTAAGATTCGTTGGAGACTGCAGCAAGAAACTAAAGAGAAACTCTTAAAAGTTGTCAACATCATTGTCGAGTGATAGGCGTTCCGTGGTTTGTGCCATCTACAACTATTTGCTCTAGTCTCACCCATCGAAAACCCACGAATTTGACTATTTTGGCGATGTCATCTGGCATCTCGCTACAGGACGTCACACATTTCTGTAAGCACTTCTTGGCTTGGAACGATGGTCCGGGAGTCCCGCAATAAGTCCTGCTCGGCTCTATTTTAGCTTCAGTTGAAATTTTTGTCTACGTTAACTATGAACTATTATTACATTACCTACATGTGTAACCTCGTAACAGTCGATTTTGATCTTCTACTATTGGATAGGTCAATTTTTACCTACAGAACGTTTCATGTTACAATGACTCCAATCAGAGATGAATTGAGAATTGTTTTTAATTTACTGAAAATAGCAGACTTTCACTAGTCTTTTTGCCCCCAACTGCGACGAAGCCAATAGTGGATGTGTTTCTCACTACTACCAACAAAATTACTATTACACTATCAACTAAACTGATGCGTTACGGTCTTAAGGTTCTTTTTGCCTAGGCGTAGACGACGACGGCGCGGCCAGTAGCGTGCCCTCGCAGCTTACCTACTAGATCATATTTTTAAAAGCTTTCTCAAAAAAAGGGTCGACTGAACAAGGAACGGGACTAGCTAAAGTCTCCACTTCTGGACAAAATTGTTGTGCCTGGAAAGGTTCATTTTCATGACAGTATATTTCTCACAACGTGCCTACTATCCTTATTTCTTTCGACCATCTGTCTGTGATCTTAGGCCTCACAGTACGTACATCCATTTATTTATTACATTTGTATATGGATGGCTTTTGGAGTATTTAGTACCTACATTTGCAACGAACATTCGGTATTCGGTCAGTTGGCGAATCACTATTCAGCCAAGTCCCGAATCAAACGAAAAAACACAGTAAATTGTCATACCTATAACTTTTATTGACGCTGAACATAGGTACATACTAGTAAGTTCGGAAATGCGCAATTTTTCGCTTACTATGTACCGAAATGTAATAATTCAAACGAAAACTATTCTATTTCTCATTCTGCTCATTTTGCTAATGAGCCAATTAGAGCGCAGGATGCCTTATGATCTTTGCCTTAACGCGGTTTGGGCGCCAATTTTCGTGCGTGTGTTAATCAGGCCGATAGTTTAGCTATTCGACCACGGTCCTGGCCTAAATCGTTATTCCGTAAGATGCTATTAGTTGCAACACGTATTTGTATTGATTGTATTTAGGATGACAGGCTGCGGGGCCCACCTATTGGTGCTATGGTAGTTCTTGCCATCTTTCATTGGATATTCCTGTTTTTCGGTACTTATTTGTAGGCACAAGTACACTTTCTCGTGCATACACTGACACTAGTTGGCAAACTATGCACAATCAAATTACTGTTCTTTGGGTACAAGAAAACACCTATTGGATAGGTAAAGTAACAATCAGCCCACTCATCTTGCACTAATAGCAACGCCCTCTGCAGGCGACAATCGTCACATTATGTAGACGAAATCGCTAAACGACCCCGGTCAACCGTGGGGCAATCGTAGTTTAATAACACCCCTTTCAACCCTCGGCCGATCGTGCTGTAGGTACTCTTTAGTACTTAATAACTGGTTATAACTATGCACTTCTTCTGCCGTAATATCTAGGTACCGGCTTACTACTTAGGTACCTTATCTACTAGGTAGTAGGTACGGTGTCTAATACATAAATTAAGGTAAAACATATGTACTTATAGGACTTACCTAGTTTAGGCTTCTGTTTCCCATTTCGATCATTTACATATATTTTGTACTGTTTGAGAGATAATAAATGATAGATTATTTCTATTATTTTAAATATACGTAGATTATGCTTAGTGCGTTGCTGCCGTTGACCCTTTTTGATTCAATGTTTAGATATTTATTTTTGTTTTTTATTTATGGCACAATAACGGACATCAGACACAATGCAGAAAAAAAAGTACTTAAAAATTAAAAAGTGATACTTATAGGTGCTTAAACGGACGCTAAATTAATAAAAACAAAAAAAATACGTTACGCACGTCACAACAATGCGAAGTGGCCTCTTAAAAGCAGGAACACCTCAGTTAAAGATGTCACAAATAGTATATATTTGTTATGTTAACCCTCAATTCATTTGTGAGGCTCGAGGGACTCTCATTAACATTTGTTTTTATCGTGATGCCACGTGCGAATCAAATTTGTAAACTCTCCATATCCTACGCACCTAACTCCGCTTGAGTCAGTCTTGTCTTACGAGCTTGTTTATTCTTTTGGTAGCAACTTAAATTCGTCCTATATTACAGTTACTAGAGTCAATTATTTCAGTAATCGTTTATTGCATAGTCACATGTTAATAATATTAAAATTACAGTACATGTGACACCCTGTAAGGGTGTTTGCAAAGAGAGTGGCGCTATACACATTTTAAAAATAAGATAAAAATTATAACACAGTACTATTTCCTAATTGATACCACGCGTACAAAACGGTGTCTAGTAGGACTATATAATTTACACATTATGTTTCAACTCTATACTAATTGATATAATTTTTGAAATAATTTTACCTACATACATTTATACACAGAAACATACAATTATAATTTTCTATTATTATTTCATATTAAATCATTTAAAAAAGGTCATCAAAAATATCATTAAAGTATTCTGTTATATTGTAATAACTCCTATCAATTAAGAGAGTTTTTAATTGTCTTTCAAAAGCCTTGGAATCCTGAGTAGGTACATTTTATGCTGTTCGGGAGATGTTTATATATTTTTATTAACATTGAGTGGGGACCCGATGAATACAATTTCATTTTTGAAGGAGGTAATTTCAACTTGAACAGATTACGATTATTTCGTTTAACTGTTTTTAACGGCGAATACAAGTCAGAGTGTTTTTTAGTGAATTTACAAGCTTCAATTATGTATATGCAACATATCGTTAATATGTTAAATTTGCGAAAATAGTTTTTACAAGATGTCATTTGGTCTATGTTTGCTAATATTCTTATGCACTTCTTTTGGAGAACAAAAACTTCTTGAACGTCCATGCAGTTTCCCCAAAGGATGATCCCGTAGGAGAGTCTAGAGTGTGCATAAGCGTAGTAAGCTGCAAGTGCAGTTTTGTTATTCGTGAGTCGTTTTAATTTACTAAGGGCATATATACAGGATGATAATCTATTTGACAGTTTTAAAATATGCTGTTTCCAAGTAAGGTGCTTATCGATCTCTATACCCAGCATGGTGGCCGAGTCTACAGTTTCAATTTTTGTTAAATTGTATGAATAATTTATGTCTAGTGGTGCTTTTTGGTATGGTTTAAATTCGAGTAATTTTGTCTTTTTAAGGTTTAATTGCAACTCATTTAGTTTTGAGTCATCATATAATAGTTTGTATTTTTGTGTCGAAATCACATAAAATCACGTCAAATAACATATCGTCGAGGATAGTGCAAATCCGCGTAAGTAGTATTGGTAAAAAGCGCGTATCTGCACGAAACCTAATTTGACGGGAGAGGGATTTAATGCTATAACTTTATTTCCAATGGCTGGGACTTTCATTTTTGCCCAGTAAGCATTAATTTATGTTGTCTACGAACTGATAACAATTTCCGATGTCTACGATAACAATACATTCCCGTAAATGACGCTGATTTGGTTGCCACATTTATTTATATTTGGCCACTAAGTTACCGAAATGGAAACTCATAATCCAATGCTAATTACGCGTAATTGCACTATCTCCGACGATAAGTACCTACCTACATAGAGTGAATAATATCTACCTCCTTCTAACATCTCGGAATGATTACGCGTATGTAAAACGCGAAGAATGAAGACTTTTGTCTTATACAGTTAGATAAATTTTTATTCACAATTACAACTTTTCATCTAAATACACTACTGTAATAAAATACCTATATCTAGAACAAAGTACAATACGTAATTACTCTCGCCCGTTGCACCAATAGGTACCAATACTCTTGTGTTACGTGAGTATCTTTGAAGTTTAGGCAAATGTACTTTGCTACTTCGATGTCTGGCAATTGTAATCCAAACAACAGTTAAAATGAAATTGAGTAGCATCTATGATCTATAATTAGTGTCAAGGGGGAGGGGGATCCGTTTCGAGCAGTGAGACGTGTATGGGTTGACACAGATGCAGATATGGTG